AGCTCTAAAGCTATTTTAAAACTTCTTTTACAATGGATTAATTAAAAGTTACAGATTAACCATATATTCACAAATGTTTCTGATTTCACTCCGAACTCGTGTAGAATTTGATGCGATCATATCTTGCTCTATTTTGTGCCGTTGAAAAGCTTTTATTATCTCGTTGGAGAGATGTTACCGAGTTCTAAAACTTGTCTGCAGGCGCTGGTTTCAAAATATCAAGGGATGATTGCGTAATTACTAAAATACACTGTATTTAAGCTAAAAGTGCTCTATTTTCGCTGAAAAAGCTAAATCAAAGAGATAAGGCTAATTATTTGTGACAATCATATGCTGCTGTGTGTTTATCCGTTTGGAGCGTATTATATCTCGTTGGAAAGATAGATCGGAGCTCTAAAGATATTGTTCCAACTTCATTTACAATGCATTAATTAAAAGTTACAGATTAACCATATATTCACAAATGTTTCTGATTTCACTCCGAACTCGTGTAGAATTTGATGCGATCATATCTTGTTTTATTTTTTGCCGTTGAAAGCGTTTAATATCTCGTTGGAAAGATCTTACCATGTTCTAAAACTTGTCTTCAGGCGCTGGTTTCAAAATATCAAGGGATGATTTCCTAATTACTAAAATGCACTGTATTTACGCTAAACGTGCTCTATTTTCGCTGAAAACGCTAAATCATAGAGATAAGGCTAAGTATTTGTGACACTCATATCTTGCTGTGTGTTTATCCGTTTCGAGCGTATTATATCTCGTTGGAAAGATAGATCGGAGCTCTAAAGCTATTGTTCCAACCTAATTTACAATGCATTAATTAAAAGTTACAGATTAACCATATATTGACAAGTGTTTCTGATTTCACTCCGAACTGGTGTAGAATTTGATGCAATCATATCTTGCTCTATTTTGTGCCGTTGAAAACGTTTAATCTCTCGTTGGAAAGCTATTATCAAGTTCTAAAACATGTCTTACGGCGCTGGTTTCAAAATATCAAGGGATGATTTCCTAATTACTAAAATACACAGTATTTGCGCTAAAAGTGCTCTATTTTCGCTGAAAACGCTAAATCATAGAGATAAGGCTAAGTATTTGTGACACTCATATCTTGCTGTGTGTTAATCCGTTTGGATCGTATTATATCTCGTTGGAAAGATAGATCGGAGTTCTAAATCTATTGTTCCAACTTCATTTACAATACATTAATTAAAAGTTACAAATTAACCATATATTCACAAATGTTTCTGATTTCACTCCGAACTCGTGTAGAATTTGATGCGAACATATCTTGCTCTATTTCTTGCAGTTGAAAGCTTTTAACATCTCGTTGGAACGAGCTTACCGAGTTCTAAAACTTGTCTGCTGGCGCTGGTTTCAAAATATCAAGGGATGATTCCCTAATTACTAAAATACACTGTATTTACGCTAAATGTGCTGTATTTTCGCATAAACGCTAAATCATAGAGATAAGGCTAAGTATTTGTGACACTCATATCTTGCTGTGTGTTTATCCGTTTGGAGGGTATTATATCTCGTTGGAAAGATAGATCGGAGCTCTAAAGCTATTGTTCCAACTTCATTTACAATGCATTAATTAAAAGTTACAGATTAACCATATATTCACAAATGTTTCTGATTTTACTCTGAACTCGTGTAGATTTGATGCAATCATATCTTGCTCTATTCTTTGCCGTTGAAAGCGTTTAATATCTCGTTGGAAAGATCTTACCATGTTCTAAAACTTGTCTTCAGGCGCTGGTTTCAAAATATCAAGGGATGATTGCCTAATTACTAAAATACACTGTATTTACGCTAAACGTGCTCTATTTTCTCTGAAAACGCTAAATCATAGAGATAAGGCTAAGTATTTGTGACACTCATATCTTGCTCTGTGTTTATCCGTTTGTAGCGTATTATATCTCGTTGGAAAGATAGATCTGAGCTCTAAAGCTATTGTTCAAACTTCATTTACAATGCATTAATTAAAAGTTACAGATTAACCATATATTCACAAATAGTTCTGATTTCACTCCGAACTAGTGTAGAATTTGATGTGATCATATCTTGCTCTATTTTGTTCCGTAGAAACCGTTTAATATCTCGTTGGAATGATCTTACCGAGTTCTAAAAGTTGTCTACAGGAGCTGGTTTCAAAATATCAAGGGATGATTGCCTAATTACTAAAATACACTGTATTTACGCTAAAAGTGCCCTATTTTTGCTGAAAACGCTAAATTATAGAGATAAGGCTAAGTATTTGTGACACTCATATCTTGATGTGTGTTTATCCGTTTGGAGCGTATTATATCTCGTTGGATAGATAGATCTGAGATCTAAAGCTATTGTTCAAACTTAATTTACAATGCATTAATTAAAAGTTACAGATTAACCATATATTCACAAATGTTTCTGATTTCACTCCGAACTCGTGTAGAATTTGATGCGATCATATCTTGCTCTATTTTGTGCCGTTGAAAGCGTTTAAAATCTCGTTGGAAACATATTACCGAGTTCTAAAACTTGTCTTCAGGCGCTGGTTTCAAACTATCAGGGGATGATTGCCAAATTACTAAACTACACTGTATTTACGCTAAAAGTCCTCTATTTTCGCTGAAAACGCTAAATCATAGAGATAAGGCTAATTATTTGTGACACTCATATCTTGCTGTGTGTTAATCCGTTTGGAGCGTATTATATCTCGTTGGAACGAGCTTACCGAGTTCTAAAACTTGTCTGCTGGCGCTGGTTTCAAAATATCAAGGGATGATTCCCTAATTACTAAAATACACTATAATTACGCTAAAAGTGCACTATTTTCGCTTAAACGCTAAATCTTAGAGATAAGGCTAAGTATTTGTGACACTCATATCTTGCTGTGTGTTTATCCGTTTGGAGCGTATTATATCTCGTTGGAAAGATAGATCGGAGCTCTAAATCTATTGTTCCAACTTCATTTACAATGCATTAATTAAAAGTCACAGATTAACCATATATTCACAAATGTTTCTGATTTCACTCCGAACTGGTGTAGAATTTGATGCGATCATATCTTGCTCTGTTTTGTGCCGTTGAAAGCGTTTAATATCTCGTTAGAAAGATATTATCGAGTTCTAAAAGATGCCTTCAGGCGCTGGTTTCAAAATATCAAGGGGTGATTGCCTAATTACTAAAATACACAGTAGTTACGCTAAAAGTGCTCTATTATCGCTGAAAACGCTAAATCATAGAGATAAGGCTAAGTATTTGTGACACTCATATCTTGCGGTGTGTTTATCCGTTTGGAGCGTATTATATCTCGTTGGAAAGATAGATCGGAGCTCTAAAGATATTGTTCCAACTTCATTTACAATGCATTAATTAAAAGTTACAGATTAACAATATATTCACAAATGTTTCTGATTTCACTCCGAACTGGTGTAGAATTTGATGCGATCATATCTTGCTCTATTTTGTGCCGTTGAAAGCGTTTAATATCTCGTTAGAAAGATATTATCGAGTTCTAAAACATGTCTTCAGGTGATGGTTTCAAAATATCAAGGGACGATTGCCTAATTACTAAAAAACAGTAGTTACGCTAAAAGTGCTCTATTTTCTCTGAAAACGCTAAATCATAGAGATAAGGCTAAGTATTTGTGACACTCATATCTTGCTGTGTGTTTATCCGTTTGGAGCATATTATATCTCGTTGGAAAGATAGATCGGAGCTCTAAAGGTAATGTTCCAACTTAATTTACAATGCATTAATTAAAAGTTACAGATTAACCATATATTCACAAATGTTTCTGATTTCACGCGCAGAGGACTGTTCATTAGATTTTGAGAACGACTTCTTGTTCGGTTTTTCTTTTTCAAATTCTGCTAGTTGTGTGTAGATTTCAATTTGTGTCCCTGGTGTTTATCTACTTTGGACGAACCTAGGGACCTGTTTTGCTTGAGATAAGAAGGCCAGACGGCAACCCTCAACTGGCGTCGGTTTTATTGTTCATTTCTTGGTTAAATTGGAGACCTTGAAATGGTACGAACTAAACAGGGACCAGGGGCTAATTCTTCGACTCGTACCACTCGAGCTTCCTCCAGATTCTTTGTATTGGAAGGGTGGGATGAGGAATTCCCTTCCTTGAACGCTGCAAAGCCAATGAAGCTGGCAAAGAATTCTGGCATAGCTACCGCTGTTATGCAACCTACTGGGAGTGGACTGCCTGGGCAGATAATGACCTCAGCTGCAGGGATGATAGAGGCTCCACAGCTAGATGGTGCATTGCTTGAAGGCAGTGAATCTCCTGGGAACAAGGTGAAACATGCTGAAGGGGTGATTTCTGCTGTCACCCAGTCTACACAACACCAAACTATAGGTATTAAACCAAATGAAGCTACTTCCCCTACTGGAGCTGTGGATGATACCAATGAACCCAAGAGGAAGCAATGGAGTACACTCTTTAAAGACAACCGAGCTCCTACCGAAGGGCTTAAACTAAGGTATATTCCACCAACCAGTAATTTTCTTGATTTTTCGGACCGTGTGCTACCTTCAATGGTGGATATCTTTGGCTACTGTCTGGTGGGCTTTTTTACCGGAAGGTTTCCTGGTTTAAAGGCAACCTATAGCCTTGCAAAAAAATGGGGAGTACAGTGTGAAATCAAACCACATGATAAGGGCTGGGTTGTTTTTAAATTCAAAAGCGAAGCTGATAGGACTAAAGTTATGCTTGAGGGGCCTTATACCCTCTATGGGAAGCTATTGGTTTTGAAGGTTCTGTCTGATGAGTTCTCCTTTGAAGATGAAGAGTTCTTGAAGGTGCCAATTTGGATTAAATTCCCTAAGCTCCCTATGAGGCTGTGGAATGAGGATACTATTAGCGAAGTTGCTTCTATGGTTGGAGTTCCACTCACCACGGATAGGATAACGCTTGAAAAGGCAAACCACAACTTCGCTAGAGTATTGATCGAAGTGGACGTGACAAAGCCACCTCCCCTCTCATTTCCAATCTAGATGGCGTCAGGAAGGACTTTTGAGCAGCGAGTTCTCTATGAAACGTTTCTGAACTACTGTTTCCATTGCAAACAATACGGACACCATCCTTTCATTTGCAAGAAACTAGCAGCAAAAGAAAAACCTGAAACCAATGAACCAGATAATAATGAGGCTATTTTAATAGCTAGGGAACCCACCACGAAGGCTATTGAGACTACGAATACCATTGTGGTGCAGGATATTGTGGACCCGGAAGGGGAATTCGTGGAAGTTCGTAGGCAGAAAGGAAAAAAGATTGCAAAGCTGATGACACCTTCCGCTGCTGCTGCTGTTTTACAAGCTGCAACTGGGCCAGAAACTGCTGCTGCAATTCCTGTTGCACCTGTTTTACAACCTGCAGTTGGGCCAGAAACTGCTGCAGTTTCCCAGGCTGCACCTGCTGCTGCTAAGACTTCACCTGCACCTGCTGCACTTGCTGCTGCAATTCCTGCTGCTACTCTTGAGTCGCAACCTGCTGCTGGGGTGGACAAACTTGACAAACCTGCTGCTGCACTTCCTGAACCGGATCCTGCTACTGCCCATGAGCCGCAACCTGCTGCTGCTATTGATAAACCTGCTGCTACACCTTTTCCCCAGGTTGCTGCCAAGGTTACTGAAGAGCAGGTAGGTGGTGCGGATCCAAAGAGTGGTTGGAAACAGTTTGGCAATAGGATGCATTATCCAGACAGATACGAGGAGATTGAGATAACATCTAGAAATGGGAAGAAAAAAACTCTTTTATTTATGAAGCCCCCAAAAAGAAACTAAAGGAATGCTGGTTTTGTTTTGACTTTATTGTTGAAAGATGTTGTAAGAGGTTGCGGCCTACTTATGTTGATAGTTTTATTTAGGTTAGACTAGTCTAACTTAGATAGTTCAACTGATCATGAGTGATGCATTGTATAATGTTATTTTTTGGGTGGTTTATATATATACTTACATTTCATCCGAAAATAGAACTCGGTAAGATTTTTCCAACGAGATATTAAACGCTTTCAACGGCACAAAATTGAGCAAGATATGATCGCATCAAATTCGACACGAGTTCGGAATGAAATCAGAAATATTTGTGAATATATGGTTAATCTGTAACTTTTATATACTGCATTGTAAATGAAGTTGGAACACTAGCTTTAGAGTTCCGATGTATCTTTCCAACGAGATATAATACGCTCCAACCGGATAAACACACAGCAAGATATGAGTGTCACAAATACTTAGCCTTATCTCTATGATTTAGCGTTTTCAGAGAAAATAGAGCAGCTTTAGCGAAAATACAGTGTATTTTAGTAAATAGGCAATCATCCCTTGATATTTTGAAACCAGCGCCTGAAAACAAGTTTTAGAACTCGGTAAGATCATTCCAACGAAATATTAAACGCTTTCAACGGCACAAAATAGAGCAAGATATGATCACATCAAATTCTACACGAGTTCGGAGTGAAATCAGAAACATTTGTGAATATAAGGTTAATATGTAACTTTTAATTAATGCATTGTAAATTAGGTTGGAACAATAGCTTTAGAGCTCCGATCTATCTTTCCAACGAGATATAATACGCTCCAAACGGATAAACACACAGCAAGATATGAGTGTCACAAATACTTAGCCTTATCTCTATGATTTAGCGTTTTCAGCGAAAATAGAGCACGTTTAGCGTAAATACAATGTTTTTTTTTTGGATTTTTTTAAAGAACGATTTTATTCATAAAAAAAAAAGGTGCAGGGCATGAAGAGAAATAAAATGAAAGATACAGAGAGTAAAAGAGAATATAAAAAACTAAAACTAGACCCAACTTAACCTTTACAGGAAACCATAGCGTAAATACAATGTATTTTAGTAATTAGGCAATCATCCCTTGATATTTAATTAAGCTATTGTTCCAACTTCATTTACAATGCATTAATTAAAAGTTACAGATTAACCATATATTCACAAATGTTTCTTATTTCACTCCGAACTCGTGTAGAATGTGAGGCGATCACATATTGCTCTATTTTGTGCCGTTGAAAGCGTTTAATATCTCGTTGGAAAGATCTTACCGAGTTCTAAAACTTGTCTTCAGGCGCGGGTTTCAAAGTATCAAGGGTTGATTGCCTAATTACTGAAATACACTGTATTTACGCTAAAAGTGCTCTATTTTCGCTGAAAACGCTAAATCATAGAGATAAGGCTAAGTATTTGTGACACTCATATCTTGCTGTGTGTATATCCATTTGGAGCGTATTTTATCTCGTTGGAAAGATAGATCGGAGATATAAAGCTATTGTTCAACTTCATTTACAATGCATTAAATAAAAGTTACAGATTAACCATATATTCACAAATGTTTCTGATTTCGCTCCGAACTCGTGTAGAATTTGATGCGATCATATCTTGCTCTATTGTTTGCCGTTGAAAGCATTTAATATCTCGTTGGAAAGATCATACCGAGTTCTAAAACTAGTCTTCAGGCGCTGATTTCAAAATATCAAGGGATGATTTCCTAATTACTAAAATACACTGTATTTACGCTAAAAGTGCTCTATTTTTTATGAAAACGCTAAATCATAGAGATAAGGCTAAGTATTTGTGACACTCATATCTTGCTGTGTGTTTATCCATTTGGATCATATTATATCTAGTTGGAAAGATAGATCGGAGCTCTAAAACTATTGTTCCAACTTCATTTACAATGAATTAATTAAAAGTTACAGATTAACCATATATTCACAAATGTTTCTGATTTCACTCCGAACTCGTGTAGAATTTGATGCGATCATATCTTGCTCTATTTTGTGTCGCTGAAAGCGTTTAATATCTCGTTGGAAAGATCTTACCGAGTTCTAGAACTTGTTTTCAGGCTCTGGTTTCAAAATATCAAGGGATAATTGCCTAATTACTAAAACTCACTGTATTTTCTCTAAAAGTGCTCTATTTTCGATGAAAACGCTAAATCATAGGGATAAGGCTAAGTATTTGTGTCACTCATATCTTGCTGTGTGTTTATCCGTTTGGATCGTATTATATCTCGTTGGAAAGATAGATCGGAGCTCTAAAGCTATTGTTCCAACTTCATTTACAATGCATTAATTAAAAGTTACAGATTAACCATATATTCACAAATGTTTCTGATTTCACCCCGAACTCGTGTAGAATTTGATGCGATCATATCTTGCTCTACGTTGTGCCGTTGAAAGAGTTTAATATCTCGTTGGAAAGATATTACCGAGTTCTAAAACTTTTCTTCAGGCGCTGGTTTCAAAAAATCAAGGGATTATTGCCTATTTACTAAAATACACTGTATTTACGCTAAAGGTGCTCTATTTTAGCTGAACACGCTAAATCATAGAGATAAGGCAAAGTATTTGTGACACTCATATCCTGCTGTGTGTTTATCCGTTTGGGGCGTATTATATCTCGTTGGAAAGATAGATCGGAGCTCTAAAGCTATTGTTCCAACTTCATTTACAATGCATTAATTAAAAGTTACAGTTTAACCCTATATAAACAAATGTTTCTGATTTCACTCCGAACTCGTGTAGAATTTGATGCGATCATATCTTGCTCTATGTTGTGCCATTGAAAGCGTTTAATGTGCCGTTGAGAGCGTTTAATATCTCGTTGCAACGTTCTTACCTATTTCTAAAAAGTGTCTTCTGGCGCTGGTTTCAAAATATAGGGGGATGATTGCTTAATTACTAAAATACACTGAATTTACCCTAAAAGTGCTCTCTTTTCGTTGAAAACGCTAAATCATAGAGATAAGGCTAAGTATTTGTGACACTCATATCTTGCTGTGTGTTTATCCGTTTGGAGCGTATTATATCTCGTTGGAAAGATAGATCGGAGCTCTAAAGCTATTGTTCCAACTTCATTTACAATGCATTAATTAAAAGTTACAGATTAACCATATATTCAAAAATGTTTCTGATTTCACTCCGAACTCGTGTAGAATTTGATGTGATCATATCTTGCTCTATTTTGTGCCGTTCAAAGCGTTTTTATATCTCGTTGGAAACAGCATACCGAGTTCTAAAACTTGTCTTCAGGCGTTGGTTTCAATTTTTTGGATGAACAGTAAGTATATATTGAAGTAACCATCCAAAGAGTTTAAACTGTACAAGCAAAAAGGTGGCCAAAATTTTAGGCTATCCAAAGATTGGATAACCCATCACCTCCAAAAACAAAACCAGAGAGGCTGGTTAGCACTCTATGCAAAGCCGATCACAAAAACAAGGTGATGGGCTAGTGAACGTCAAAAAACCACCAATTCATGTGGATAGATGCTATACAAAACTTTATAGACAATATACTTGATCCGAGCAAAAACGTCTTCAACTTTGGGGGAAGTACCATCAAACTTGATGGCATTTCTAGTCCTCCAAATGTGATAAACCGAGAAGCAAAATGCAATCCTTGTCGCTTTAGCTTTAATGGTGGCTCCACTTCTCTCCTTCTTAATCCATTTGACCGAGCTTGAAAGTGTGCCCATAAGCCTCGGCATGTCCATCCAATTCTTCACCAAGCTCCAAATTTTTCCTGAAAAAGGGCATTCAAAGTATAGGTGTGAAGCCGTTTCCGGCCCACCCTTGCACATAACACAAATGTTAACTACATCTAATCTATGAAGATTATCACATGTAGCTAACCTATTCCGGAATGCCAACCAAGTAGTAAAGGAATATTTAGGGGGAATATAGTCTTTCCAAATAAAGGACATCCACCTACGGGTAGAGGCCTTAATTCTAAGTAAATCATAGACTTTTGAGGATACAAGTTTACCATTAGCTTGAAAGGAGTTCAAACAGCGAATGGTGTCAGCCACATCCTCGAATTTGGAGATGATCTCATCACGTACCATGGCAAATTTCTTCATTAATTGTGAATCTCTATGGTGTGGGACAAAATCCCACACACTTCGGCCATTAAGATACACACTATGAACCCACTTAACCCATAGAGTATCCTTTTTAAGATGAATGTCCCAAAAACTTTTAGCAAGCAAAACTGAATTCCAGATTTTGGTATCATGTATTCCAAGGCCACCCTCATGTTTAGGGAGACATACATCAGCCCAAGATACTCTAGAGTATTTACAACCCCATAGGAAGATACGGCACATAGCTGTTATTCTATCAAGTATTACCT